ATTGGCCCTGGGCTAATATCCATGCCCATCTTCCTCTACTTTATGTGGGACGCCTGCCACAGAGCAGCTCGATTAGTAGTGCGTAGGTCTGCTCCTGGGATCTGAACCTTCAAACCCCAGGACGCCAGAAGCAGAGCACACGAACTTAACCACTTGGCCACAGGGCTGGCCCCTAAATGGCATCTCTTATCTTCTTTATATATAGAAGTTTACATTTGTTTCTCTTTCAAATCTGCATAGTTATTCTTTACAGAGTTTTGGATTCTGCTATGTTTTTAAGGTTCTTTTTTATTCCTTTAAATATAGTCATCATATTTTTTATACTCTAGGTCTTATAATTATTTCTATTAGTTCTTGCTCATTGCAACTTGTTTCCCTGTGTTTAGTGATTTTTGATCATGAACAACTAATTTTCCTGAGAATTTTATTGGTGATATTCCTTTGAGGCCTGAGATGATGGTAGGTTTATCCAGAGAAAATTTGCATTTGTTTCTGTTAGGCCACCTGGGGGGTACCAGTGGTTAGAGAGTCTCTCAAACTAAATTCTCAGTTTAGAGTTGTTTTGGAACAGTCAGGTAGTACAAATTTTGGATACTAACCTGTCTCAGGTTTGGCTTGTACCTTTATATTCTCAAGGGTAATTTTTTCCTCTTCCCTTTATGTCAGTGGTTGAGACAGGAGACTTTCCTTGCAGTCCCTGGCAGTGGGTGAGTTCATTTCTAGGTCATGCTTACCCTGGATGCATGGACCTCTGGGGCTCATGCTTATGGGGAAGAGGGTGGTTCTCTGTTTATACTCCCCACCTCAGGCAGGTGCTATGTTTTATTTCTTGTCTTTCGCACTCTATGGGGCCGTAAAAACTGAAGTTCAAGTTCACAGCTTCAGCAAATGCCTCAAAGTTCAAGCAGTTCACATCTCTACTTACTTCTCTGGGCTCCCTCCTTCATGTAGTGTTTGATCTGAATTTTCTTTATGTTATTACCAGCTCATTAGTGCTTTAAAAAAGATTTTATCCAGCATTTTCAGTTGTTTCCAGTAGGAGAATCAATCAAAACAGAGCCTCCTGTATCGTCTCTTGATTCTCCTTTTTACCTCTGTGACTGTTTCGTTTACTGTTCTTCGTAGATTTTTATTCCTCTACTCCTTTTTAATAATTTTTATTTATTTATTTTTTTCCCCAAAGCCCCAGTAGATAGTTGTATGTCATAGCTGCACATCCTTCTAGTTGCTGTATGTGGGACGCGGCCTCAGCATGGCCGGAGAAGCGGTGCGTCGGTGTGCACCCGGGATCCGAACCCAGGCCGCCAGCAGCGGAGTGCACGTACTTAGCCTCTAAGCCACAGGGCCGGCCCCTCCTCTACTCCTTAAATATTGATATTCTTCAGTGTTTTTTATTAATGACCCCACTTCTTTTCTTTTTTTATGCTACAGGCATACATATTAATCACTTTCATTCCCTTTAATATAATTTTTCCTTCACCAAAGCTTATCAACTCTCAGTCTCTGGTGCAGGTAACTAGTACTTCATCCTGAATGGGAGACTGGCTCCTGGTGAGACCTCCTAGGCCCCCCACCTTGGAGGATTTGGGGGCAGAAAGCCTTGGTCCTTCCAGTGGACCTATTATGCCCCCTTTCTGTCCTCAGGGACCCATCTAGGCCCTTCTAGTTTTCTCTTCTGCCATCAAAGAAATGTGGGTGTGGCTCAGGGGGCCCAGAGTCCCCTCTTTCAGGTCAAGGCTGTCACTACACAAACACTCATCAATGGAACAATTATTGTTCACTAAGTTGGTGCAAGGCATGGCCTTTGCAGCAAGGCAGGGAGGTGGTGAAAGATGTGTAGGGTAAGCTATCCTCCCTTTGAAAGGCTCCAGACTAGTTAGGGAGAAGGAGGCACCTGACTCATCACGGCCATGACCTTTCATAGTTTCAATGACCAACTTTAGTTTAGGACGTGTTTCCAATCTAAAATATTACCTCTGGTTTTTCAGCAAAAAAGAAAAAAGTATACAAATGTTTTATTGCAACAATACTCATCATAGTATAAAACTAGACACAACCCAAATGCCATCCAGCTGTATAATGGATATATAAGTTGTGATTTATTTATAAAATGGAATACTACACAGCACTGAAATTAATGAACTTTAGCTATTGCAACCATGTGAACGAATCTCAAAAACATTGTGTTGAGTGAAACAAGCCACACACAAAGGAGTACATACTGTCTTATTCTATTAAAGTTCAACGACGGGTGAAACTAGCCTGTAGTATAAGAAATCAGGGTATTAGTTATCTTTGGGGAGGGAAGTATGGACAGTGACTGGGAAAAGGCACGAAGGGATGGTTCTGGGTGTTAATTTTTTATTTCCTGATCCAGATGGTGGTTACATGGTTTTGTACATTTGATAAAAGTTCATTGAGCTGTATGCTTATGATTTTGCATTTTTCTACGTGTGTTAAATTAAAAAGTTTACTTTAAACAAAAAAAATTACCTCTGATTTTAAATGCACATATTCATTAATTCATTCAACAAATACTTAATGTGTACCTACCATATGTCAGGTAGTGTTCTAGGTGCTAGAGATATGATGTTGAACTAAACGGACAATATCCCTGCCATTATGGAGCTCACATTCTAGTTCAGGGGAAGGAACAGCAAACACGACATAAAACATATAAATAAGATAATTTCCTATGGTGATGAGTGACCTGAAGGAAATAAGGTGGGGTGATGTATTAGTGACTTTTGCTAGAGCAGTCAGAAACAGCTCTTTTGATGGGAATGATAAAAAGGAACTAGCCATAGGAAGACCTGAGGGGAGAGCATTTCAGGCAGAGGGAACAGCTAGCACAAGGCTCTGAGGAAGGAATGAACTTGTGGTATTCAAGGAATAAAATGAAGGGAAAAGGTTAGGACCGAGGGTGAGGGTGAGAGTATAAGATGTGAGTAGAGAGATAGGAAGGGCCGGGTCATATAGGGCCCTGTAGGCCATACGAAGACATTTAATTTTATTCCAGAGTGAAATAGGAAGCCATTGAAGGAGGGGCAGTGACATATATATGTTTTAAGAGATCAAACATTGTGTGTTTCTTTTTTTTTTTTGTGAGGAGATCAGCCCTGTGCTAACATCTGCCAATCCCCCTCTTTTTTTTTGCTGAGGAAGACTGGCCCTAGGCTAACAACTATGCCCATCTTCCTCCACTTTATATGGGATTCCACCACAGCATGGCTTGCCAAGCAGTGCGTCGGTGCATGCCCGGGATCCGAACTGGCGAACCCCGGGATGCCGCAGCGAAGCGTGCGCATTTAACCTCTTGCGCCACCACTGTGTGTTTCTTTTAAGAGTCATTTTTACTGAGGTGCAATCAGTGAAGTGCTGGTAAATATTTAATAACCAGCTCTCGGGGGAGGGACTGCTGGTTTGTAGTGTTTGCCAATTTCTGTGTTGTAAATACCTTCTCCATGGCTGATTTCAAGCTACCAACGTGACGTCACTAAATGAGGAGTTGGGAAAAGATGTACAGAATAAATTCTCGTGAGGTGGTAGAAGCAGTTCCTGCACACCACTAGGTGTAATTTATATATAT